TTCTCAATCACCTTGTTTCACTTTCGTAGGAAATGTGAGATTTATACTTGAGTATTATTCGACTAGTAGAATTATAACTACTTTTATTATTGTCATTATCGTTTTCGCAATTGTGGAATTTTGTGTTTCACATAGATTACTCTCTCCGTCTGTGGAATGTGGTGAGTGAAGTGTTGATATGTATCTGTGGAGGTGCGGAAGGTCATAGATCGGAAGTATTACATGGGGATGTCTTCTTATCAAGTAATCTACTCCTGTCTTCCGGAATGGATCATTGTGTAACGGTTTGGAGACTTAATGCGTTTGAATTGACCACTGCTGTAAACAAATCTTTCAACCATCGTCCTCGTGTAAATACAAGGTTAGTTATGCACTGGTTGCAGTTTGAAGTGTTTTCATTAGAGGTGCTTCTCCCGGCTAGTTGCACGGAACGGTAATTGCAGCCATTGGAATATACTGATTGTCTTTGAAGGACGATTTTGTGGAATAATTTCAGGTTGACTAAAACACACGCGTGCGAACATGTGCTTGCATATTTCAGATTCAGCTTATACGCCATGTCGATTCGTAGTTCGTAGTAGTCGTAGTAGAGTGAAAAGACTTATGCTGTTGGATATATGGATTTCAACATTTACTTTTACAAGCATTGTTAAGGAAGCATGAGTTGTCAACAAATTCAGGTGCGTTAGTTACTCGCTTATTAGTTTTTAGAGCTACCTGTTCAAGCTGCTGAATAAAGGAGACTTAAGTCAATGCAAGAAATGGCGCGGAATTATGCTCCTGTCTATCTCAAGCACAATACCAAGCCGCTTCATCCTGGAAAGAATCAAACACACCCTGGATGACGAACTTAGACTGGAACAGGCTGGATTCAGGAGAAACAAGTCATGCATTGATCAAATGACGACACTACGTATCATCATGGAACAGAGCCTGGAATGGAAATCAACCCTCTGAAAAGTTGGGTGGATGCTGAGGTGTTTTGTACCCAGGACGCCCTTGTTTGTCAAATCTTCACCTGACCGGTTAAATTGTGATGACACAAAGTCTATCTCGGGCATGAAAGAAATTGCAATGAAAATCAAACAAATTTGAGGGCATTTGTCTGTATTGATAAGTTAGGGAGTCGTATGACGAATACATCGATATGAATGAGAACAATAAATGGTGGTCGGAATTTCATCCAGCTATAAACATTGTATCACTTTGACTCAAATCACACAAAATTATGTAATGCGTAACCTCATGCCATCAATGTGACGGAATTCTAATCTTGCATTTGTTTTCCTGTTTTATACTGATCGAAACTTCACTTGTTGAAAACACCAGAAGATAATATATTTTGTCTAAATGTTTAGCTGTAAGCCTCAATCGAATTCTACAATGACTAATCGAAACTGGTGATTTGATGGGTGCGTTTTAGCACTAGATGATCGTCATTATCTAACATTAATGAATAAATGACAATTCAGTAAACAGAACAAGTGGCAAATATTTCCCTACATCTTCTAGCCTAGAACTTCATCGTCATCATTAGAAATTGTATGCTGACCTACAGTGTCTAGGTTGACTGTCTGTAAAGATGTAAGCTGCTCAGCCACCCAGACTGTCTGAAACACCATAATGTTACGTTCCGTGATTCGATCACGAATTCTAAGTAGCTGAGCACACAGAATGTGAAATTATAACTGATCGTGCAATATATTCCGTACTACTCGCGACCCGAATGTTGTTCGGACTCGGCTTACCAACTTCACTGCACTCCACTCCAGGTCAGTATCATATATTCGACTTGGAGGATAGTAAACATTAACTGTAGTATCGTCATATCAGTTTGCCTGTCAATACACACTAGAAGGTGCAGTTTATTCGAAGTATTGTTCGACGAAAGATGAAGCGCAATCGTTATCCCATAAGAACTGATGATTTCTACAAATCACCAGTGGAATATATCACCATTATCCTGAATCATTGAAGCCAGTTAATGTGTGCACGACTGAGAAATGTTTGCAAGTTTCCTACTAGACAGGGCTCATTTGTCAGCCACTTTTGGTACTACCACATGTCAGTTAGACAGGAAATTGAGATTTTAAGTAAACTCCTGTCTGGAGATCAGGAGCCAGAAACAAATACAAACAAACCTTCCAACCAGCCTCAAAAATAATGGATATAACCTGGATTCTTGAGACCGACAGGGAACTCATTTAATCTCAGTATTCTAGATAATATTCATCACCGCACAACAGCCAGGATAGATGATGAACACCGGTGGTTTTCAGTGAATGAATAAGAATGGTTTTATAAAACTCATTCAACAGGGATGCTTTGAAAGCATGAGATTCGCACACATTGAATCCACACCTTGGATCCATGCAAATTGTATCTGAATGTACGAAGCACTTTGTGTGAAAATATAATTCACAGTGTTGCAGTCACTATGCTCCTCAGTAAGAATTTGGTAGTGAGTGTTTGCTGAATAAGTTGCTTGTTATTGAGCTGCTTATAAACCGTCTGTGTTATTTCTCGTGCTACTAACAGTGCTGTGGCTGATACTGACGCTGCTACTGTCAAATTGCATGAGACAATTTGAGGAATTGAAACATTTCATTCCATCATTTTTACCACACATTCTGGTGATACACAGAAATATCTGCCAACAACCATTTTATGTCCAATAACCTCCCTAATGAATCTTCATTCTACCAAACGATCTACAGGGTATATTGACGTTTCAGGTCACCTGAGAATAAGTTTATTTGATTGATGTGAGTGAGTAAGGGATATTGCTGGTAACACGCAGTAGGGCTTGTTTACTTACTAATCGGATCGAAGTAATATAAACAAGGGGTAGTCGTTTTGTTCACCTCGTTCTGAACTCATCACAATGTGTGGCGATGTTCTACTCAGCTCGGAGAGGCAAAACAGTTGGAACCACTCGATTTGTGGCTAGATACTCGGGCCAACTGATAATAAACTGTGAATAAAATTTGCCACCTGCAATTGACAAGGTCGGACCTCAAATTTCACTACAAACTACACTGAAAACAGAAATTATTCGGAAAGCAATGTGAGTTTGTCTGAAACTACCCATAACAACAATCTGGAAGGTAAGTATAAATGCGTGATGATACATGACACTGGATGGTGAGTGTGTCACAGTGTAAAGTATCGTGGAATGTTCCCTACGAAAGTGAACTGCAGTGGAATTTGAAGTTGAATTCTGTTAAATGCAGATGGAAAATTTTATTCACACTTTGTTGGCTGTAATCAGACGATGAGAAGCAAAGGTTATAAATGATGGTGTCATTTTATTCTGCAAAAGCTGTTGTTCTTGCTTTATTCAAATTCTTAAAGAGGAATAAATGTCTACACTTAGTTACATTTACTTGGCCCTCATTTGACTCCTCGATCTGCGTAGAACATCGCCACACATTGTGATTATTTCAGAACTAAATGAACAAAACGACTACCCATTGTTTGCCTCGCATTGATCTGGTTAGCAAGCAAGAACTACAGCGTGATATCCTATTTTAAATGGGGGAGACTCTTTTCAGGCGGCTTTCTCTTAAGCTTTGCATTATTATGTACATATGGTTTCCGAGAAACTTTGTCTCCTGAGGGATCTCAATCAGTGGTGTGAACAGTTAAAATGATATTTGTGAAATGCAAAACAATGTTTGTGATGATAAATGGGTGGCGTAATGTATGCCAGTTCATAGAATTTTTAGATGTTAGAAAGTAATGTAAAACCAATAGGACTAATAGGTTTAGTAGGCAACTGAAATATTACTTAACATGTCGAGAATTTCGATAAGGTAAATTTTAACATTAAAGAATAAAAAGAAGCGGATGAAGAGATCAGAATTTATTCACAAGCTGACATCAGTGATGGAAGCTTTGGAAGACTTTGTAGTACGTGACAGGTCTTATATAAAAGTTCACCACTGCTAAGCAATACTCAGACTGCACCCAAATAACAAACCTCAATTTTCCCTATCATCTGACATCAATCAATCGATCTTGTCATATTTATATATACTAATCTTTAACATTTACGTATCCAAGATTAACAAAGGCTTCCTTCTGAATGCGTAAATTCGGCCTTAGTCGTTCAATGCCAATCGCTACATTGATAAGGAACAAAGTAGCAAAATTGGTTGTCAATGTGGTAGATCAGTGGTTCACTTGTTTTAGATTGTCACATGATCATGGGCTGATGGCCTATTCATATCGTTATCATTTCAGAGAAATATACAGAGATTCCACTGCAACGAAACTGAAGTTCACCGTTCAAGACAGTGGACTCATCCACCAATCCATTGTCTATGGGTAACATTCTAAAAGTCTAGTGCTATGCATATTTGAGTTAAACATGAGGAAGGTGTAACTGAAAGCTATACTGTTCACTCATATAACGTGTTTCAGTTATAACTGAGGAATTGACAACTTCACAGATCATTTCTCAGTCTTGTGAAGGTGTGCAAGTGTAATTCCATATGGCCATAAATGGTATTCATTAGGCATTGAAGACGTCGACCTACTCATACTGTCAGCTAAACATTAAATTCACACTAAAATTCTAAAATGGATCTACGCCTTTGGAAATTAGCCATTTAGCCAACTGGAAAGCAAATGATTTTCAAGCCGATTCGTACATATACAAATTTATTCAACAAGACAATTACTCCTCGTTAGACTTGATAATCGTTGGATTTGATCGACTGACACTTGAGTCACGTGATTTCCCATTATAAATAAACAACAAACCAGTCACATTTAATAATTCACACTCACTACGATATGTTTTGTTAATTAATTAGTTAATTAATTAAAGCCTACTCATCACTGTATTCATGCTATCCAACTTTACACTGAGAAGAACACAAAGTGCAGAATACACGGATAATTATAACAAAAATGACTCAGTGATACAATTTGCACAACCGGATAGTATTATTGCTACAGATATACCAGGAGATGCGATAACAAAAGTCAGACATAGAGGCATCAAGCCAGCGTCTGTTGAGATTAGAGTTAAGTTTACCTGGTTTAAATGTCGGTGATAGGCTGAAGACATGTGAATTCAATAATAACCATGCACACTCATACATTAAATGCTCATGTAATTTAGCGTCTTGTTGGGGTAGCAGCAGTAACCATATCTCAGGAAGAAACTTCAATCGTAATTCTAAATCTGAAGTTGACGGAAGCATTATGATACCGTTAGAAAATTTAAATAAAAACGACAATGAACAATGGATTAAGACAGACGATAAAAAGCAGCCTGAAAATGGTGAAATATGGTTTCGGACAACTTCCTCTCGGTTTCAAATTAGTGTTATTTTAAGAAGAAATAAATGTGACAGTCGTCGTGGTCAACACCACGAAGGCGAGAAACATAAGGCCTTATTCAACACTGAACATGTATCAAAATGTTCAGTTTACTTGACGTCAGACTTTGTCTCTTCATCATCATCCTCATCCTCATCGTCATCATCAACTACAACACTGTCTTCGGAACACCACTGAATAGTTGTCATTACTAGTATTATTGGGATTCGGGTGAATTAAAACATCCCATCACTATTAGAGGAAGTTTTCTATTGCTGAGTAATGATACTCTGAGAATTTATCTGAGTATATTCGGAGCAAAGCAGTGTAAACCAGTATGGTCTAGAGATGATTTGTTGGAGCTGGAACAAACTTGTCAATACAAACTGATCAAAAGAGACCAGAGCGCATTGAATTTCAACAAGGAAAGAGCACACAGTTTTGACAATATTCGAGAATTTAACAAACGACATTTTGATGAAGCGTTGACAGTGTCAGAATCAAAAAGTGATCACGTGAGAGGTTGGTTAATTAGCGCGTTATCGATCAAGTGATAGTTTTCCACTTAGTTTACCTGCAGATTTTCACATAAACATAAATTGTGAAGCAGTTCAGACAACCATCGCTTCCGATTTGTGATTTAACAAATTTACACATATGGCATAGACTTTGCTTTGTAATACTCTAGAAATAATAATATTCATACTTTGATTATAAATTAATATCTCCTAAGTTAATTGTGGAGATTGCTAATCAAAGGCACTTGCTCTTTCTGCTTTCACTCAACCTTATCAAAATACCTTCACAAAATAAGTGAGGAGTACACTCTACGTCTTCTAACGTAAATCTACCATTGGTCATCTCTTAGAAACACAGACATTCGGATGAATGTGTACTACATGATCGGTGTTTATTTTATTACTTTTCTCGTCTTTCATGATCTACATTTTAATTCCATTTATGCTGTTTACGAATGGAGCCATGAAATGTTAGTTTTTTCACTGCAGTATGTCAGTGGTCAACTTGTTTTAGATTGTCAGTAAATGGTAATTGTTTGATGGTGCTGTGCTATGATCATTTCAGAGGAATGTACAGGAATTCCAATGCTAGGAAAGTGAAGTTTATCAGATAAACGTCTTCCTTGAAGCTGTTGAAATTGTTTGGATGCGTCAAAACAATAAATATGTATATACATTTATATCTGGTGAGATAACCGAAAGCCTGAGGTGTCTTTTGCTATCAAACACCACACAGAAATATCAGCTTTCGGAGCTTCGAAATTCTTCACCTCCGATGGTGAGAATGACAACATATAATATTCCATTGTTGGTCAACATTAACAAACACTTGACATTCGAAAAGACATTTCGCCAACAAACTGACTTCTTGGTGTCCGGTGGTGAGAAAATAATGCTGTTCCCAAATATTTAATTACCCGGAGATTGATGACAACAAGTTCTACCATGAACATTATTGCAAGTTGTTGGAAAATATCTTACGCAGTAACTCTACGAATTCCGTCGACCAGGTGAACATGTATACAGATAAATTCACAGTTCCGAAAATGTGCCTCACTTCCCCATACAAGTTTAGACATAATCTTCTGATAGTGTTGGGAAACATCTGCTTCGGTTATTCAGAAATGGAGACTGAATTCGCATATTTCCATTGAAAGAAAATCGTCAGTGGTTGGTATGCATAGTGTTTCAGAGCGGTTGACGACTACTCACACAATTCCCATCGCCTTACAATCGCTATATCTCACCATATATACAACACGCTCGCTTGCTTTTCACACGAGATTGTGGCACATATGGCGCAGGTGACATTTATTACTGCTTTATTGAATTGTATAGAATTAACAGTTGCTGTATACCAGCTAATGTTCTAAGTCTATAATCTTGAAATAGTCTCAGTGACTGTGTCGATATATCGAGTTAAATTGGCATCTGTTTTGTGAACACGTTGTTCAAGGTTCTGTAGGCATTCACTTCTCCATAATATGAGATTGATCCCTGCCAATCAGCCCATGCGTGTAGATAGAGAGATAGTTCACACAAACAGTTTCACAGAAGTTTACCAATTCATGGTTGGTAGTTTTAGCCAGCTATCTTGAGTGATTTCCGGTAAATCAAAAATGTCTAACTATTTCTCGTTTTAGTTCCAATTCCAAAAACCGAGGTGGTCAACAGTTTCATATTGTTCTGGAACGATTTCCAGGTCAGTCACTGGTAGTTACATTAGGGAAAGCAGGGATTAATCCAACTCATGTTAAGTTATTGACGATTACTTGAATACTTACTAATATTAACACTTGAATATTAGCGAATAGTGGGATAATCTTCTAGCCTTTCTCTAGGTAGTCAACAAATATGAGGCTGCTTAAGGAATTTTGTATAATGACTTTGGACCCGTTTGTGATAGACGCCTTTTATACCTATGTTATTTACCATACTTTACATTCAGAGTACCCTGTTTCCCTTATCAAATGGACGGTTGCAATTTATTGGGTGTTATGATGTAGAAATCGACTTGACCCTGCAGTGTAACACCCTCTCACAGGATTCTACTTCTTCAATTTTTACTTCGCTTTGAAATAGGTGAATTTATTGCTATCTACATGTTCAGTTAGTGTAGCTTAGATAAGTAGGAGAATGAGGAATTAATGCAAGTCAATTCTCCTGAAGTGAAAATAATTTGTGATGACTTCATACTACTGTGAGTAGTCAGGTACGAATGTATACGTTTATTTTCATCGGTTTAGTATCAGTCCTGTCAATCAAATCAGAACACAAAAATCCCACAATTTTCTACTACTAACAAGAATCCCCTTGAATTTCCAGCTGACAATTTCAAGGATTATCAGCTAGGTTAGTGAGTCCTGTGTCTTGTCATCCAACTACTTCAAAACATGTCATAATGTCAAACAAGGCAGTATTTCAATAGAAACAGGTCACTCTGGCTCAATGAATATCATGAAAACAGTGAATTTTTGGTATGTATTAGGCGTATTTTTATCTTTCGGAATATCATTGTGACACTGATGTTGAATTCTAAGGAAACTCAAAGTATTTCTCATATTTTTTCACTCGGCGTTCTTGATATCACACTAGTGGAGCGAGGGTCCAAGTTGGAATGAGTGTTAACTAAGATTCCCTTTTATAAATTTAAACAACAAAAGAAAGAAGAAACATTGGCTGAGAATAATCTGGATCCATTTTATTCCGTTGGTTCTCATCAGATGCCTACAACCTGAATTCTTTAATAAATAAAATTATATATCTTGTTGGAGAAACATTTCTTCAGGAAAATTAATGAACAGTTGTGTTGACGGGGAGGTAACAAGAGAAAATTAGTAAAAGTTAGGTAATTAGATAAGAGAAAATCAAAACTTTAAAATTTCCGTGAACATTTAACAAGGAGCCTCCGGTTACATGGACCGAATTGTTTATTCTCTCCAGTCGCGAAACACCTGATTGACACGGGACACCGAGTAGATGTACTGGAATCATTCAAAATAATTAACAGACAAAGTATCTGCGGGAGCAGTTACATTGGAAGAACAGAAAGAAGGGCATATTTACGATTTTCTGAACACGTACCAAAAAGCTTACGTCTAAAGGGAACAAATGCTTTAAACAGTGCCATCGCCAGGCATCTCCTCGACACGGATCATGAGGTGGACGTCGAAAAGTTGTTCAAAATTATCAATAGGCGATTCTCCTTAAGTTTGCTGAAGCGATTTCTATCAAACGCTTGAAACCAGATCTATGTGTTCAGAAAGAAGCAGTTATTCGTCTTTCTTTGCCTTGGTAACTGGGTGCCTTTTTTTCTCTCATCTGATAACGTAATCTTTGTCTTCAACCTCACCCTCCCTTTTATAATCTGTAATTTTGCTTGTCTCTTGTTTCTATGATTTGAGCTCAACTCAGTACATTGTTACCTAACTTACTAGTCACTATGCATCTAACGCACATCTCATCTTTATTATGGAACTTCTTTACCATTTTCTGCATACATTTATTTTGTTTTAACTTGAACTGCCTATGTGAAAACTATATAAGCGCAATTTTCTGAGCACTGTTTACAAATTGTGAGAATTTCTGTCAACTGACAACATGTAAAATTTGCAAATATGTTAAAACATGTCTGTACTTAAACCTCATAATTTATTTAGGCTGTAAGCAGCAGATGAGTAGCCAACGAAATAAATGATGGTACCATATTATTCTGCTAAAACTGTAGTTCTTGCTTTGTTCAAATTCATTAAGGGGAATAAATGTATGAAATCTTCGTGTATTGTTGACAATTTATACTTAGGGTTTTCCACAGGAGTTCCAAAGTCCCCTAAACACATCGGCCTTCATCATCATCATCATCGTCATCGTCAGCTCACCAATGAATGATTTAGACAGTGTAACACTAGACGATCCATTTTATGATAACTAGAAATTTTTCCTACCACTCGGACACACGTGAGTGGTTGCCAATCTTTGTGATTAACACGCCAATGAATAATAATCTATTACCAAAACAGCACACTTGATGTGTGAACACGAAACGTTACTTCTTTAACTTGTATAACAACCGAATACCAGTGTACTTTATGAATCTCGGTGGGTGCGTACTGCTGAAGAGTCCCAAACTAGGACGAAACATCTGTCCAGTACTCCCGGGTTTTCCAATGGTTCCTTAAATAATGTCAGCTCATGATGAAATCCTGGAACCAATCAAATCCCTACAAAACATCACTTGAATACTTTATGACGATTGTTGATTAGACATGCAACTAGTCTGCCATCTTGTAACCAATCTACAGCTCAGTTAAGCTTACAGATGCCTACACAAATTTTACTTAGTTGTATTGGAGATAGTTATGATTTGTTCAATAGGCTGCCTACATTTTTTATATTATGTGTGGAGTTCAGATGTCAGTTGACCACAGAGAAGGAGAGAGAGAGAGAGAGACAGAATTTTAGACATTGTGTGAATTGATCAGTGTATGTTTCACACTGTGTAAGTGAATAGTGTTGCTGCATTTGTGCATGGATTAGCTTCATCAGTCTAGGGAGTGATATACTTCTATCGATTACTTGGAGTGTTCTGATCATTAGATCAAATGAATTCACATATCTCTAACAATGACCGGATGCCTCATTATTAGTGATACTACTCTGAGGGTGACAAGAAAGTATTTC